ACCACACCACACCACACCACACCACACCACACCACACCGCACCGCACCGCACCACACCACACCACACCACACCGCACCACCACATCGTGTATATATCGCATCAATTAGTTGCAATCAGTATCCCATCTAATGAGTTTGTAAAAATCACATGTAAGCAAGGATGACGGAGCATTGGGGGGTGCATGAGTCCAACGTCTCATCATTACATACAAGCTTTGGAAACCAATTGTGTTCGCTTAATGTGAGGGTCCTGAAGGAGAATCTAAGACCCAGTCTCCTAGCCGCTGACCAAAACCACGTAGTCTGAAAACGACGAACGAAATAAATTTCAACATTCAGACTTTATTAAGGTCTCCTTCCAGGCATCTCTCTGATTTGGGCAGCACAGCGTTGCGTTGAGGTTAAGGACGGTGCCTACTATTGTCCACGCGCACACGTACTGCGCATCTACATTCGAGGAATTTCAAAATTCATTACTCGAATTGCACGAAACAAAACGTTTATTTAAGTTAAAGCAGAAAACGATCTTAAGTAACCCAGGCTTGTTAAAGAAATAATTTGCTAAGGTTTAAGTATTATTGACAAAGAATCATAAGTTTTTTTGGGCAAGTTTTGAAAAAATGGCAGACTCATAGTTCTAAAAAACCAAATCCTTTCAATAATAAAGTTTTTTTACCGTTTCTTTAGATTTAATCCTATAAAACTTGAATAAAAACAAAAAGAAATACATATGAAATCGAAAATTTACCATTTATTAATATCTAGGTGTGTAATTATAGTTTTGAAAATCTTTTTTTGGTCGCTAAACACTTTCATCATGAAATTCTTTTACTTTGGAGTTTTCAATCTAAAAATTCATCTTATTACGTACCAAATATTTCAGAAATTCCTTTCTGCTGTTAAGTAACGAGTCGATAATAACTTCACTTCAAACCCAATAGTCTTTCTGGAACTATAAAGCTTATAAATATCGAGTTTTTCTCTGTGTTTTTTGCTTGCATGGCAGGAAGCAGCATGTTTAGCTTGACGTGCAAACGCGCCAAAAACAGAGTTTGTCACGCCGTTTTGTATGCTGTGTAACGCTTGTCACGCATTAGGCATAAGATTTATCCCTAATAATGTTCTTTAGAAATTCGTATCTCTTAAAAACGCCAGGATACCCCTATTCTTTCTTCGTTTAAATGATGGAGTAAATGCTAAATTAGCCTCGTGAAATGAAATTTATAAAAAATAATTGGTTTTGAAAAGAATATGGACACAATCTTTATGTACCTACTGATCGARAATAGGGAGCACGAAGCTAAAAAATTATATATATTATAGCCAACTATTAAAGTCATGGTAGAATTGGGTATATTTTAGTAAAGAAACAAAGTGTCAGTCATTTAGGACGATTTAAGTTAGAAATTTCTCAAAATCTTTTGAACAAAAATGTTTTTCCTGGTTTTAGTAAAATCATGACGTCATCACTTTTTAACGATTTTTAAGCCTTATTATTTCTTTTAAATGCATGGTGACCCCTACTTTTCTAACCAGAATTTGACAACCCTTTGATAGGTTAAAATAGTTCACATAGTCATTTAAAAAAATAATTGATTCTCAATTAGTAGGCACCGTCCTTAAGTCCAAAAAGTTGAATAATGATGCGTTACGCTGTATTTTGCTTTTAGTCTCGACTTATGAACTCGTTCACCCCCCAAAACAAAACAAACAAAACCAATCAAACTAATTAACTTTCTTTACATTAACTACAATATCTAAAATTGGCATTTTCAAAATATCTTAATAAATTTTATCATCATACGTCTTTTGCCATGCGTAGTAGATGTTCATCGACATGAATATTCAAAGAACATCCCACATGTCAAAGAATGTCTGAACGGTAGTAGCCGACTTACGAATCAAATATTAGTTACTCTGGTTTCCCTTCAAATCGCATAAATCTTTCGCCTTTTACTAAAGATTTCCGTGGAGGGGAACAACTCAATGAGTCTATAGACTAATTTTTTGTCGCCCTACCTTATCGGCGGGGCCTCTTAAAAACATCAAAGAAACTTTTTTCTCATGTCTAATTTTACTGTGAAGCGAAGGGATGAATCTCCTAATGTTTTGCTAAAACAACTTTTGATGATGTGAGGTCGTTCAAGAACAGGAAAATATAAAATAATTCACACTTTTTCTATCCATACCAAAACGTTAGGAAATAGTTGAAACATATTCTCTGTCCCAAAAAAATGCCAGAAGTGTCCACTTCCAGTTCATTTGCTGCGGATCTTCGCTCAGACTACTCCACGCGGGTTGCCTGTGGAAACAAAATGGCGAGAGAACGATGGGTTTCACTTCTTCCTCAAGTATTCGACCTTTTACTCAACAAATTAGACCGTATTGTTGATGATACAAGTATCGAGAAGCTCCTAGTCTGGTTAGAAGATGTTTGCAGTACTCCAAAGGGATTACAAATGCTTCTCAAACAAGAAACGGGTGTTTTAAATTTTCTTTCAGATGAAAAACTAGTGGACAAGAGACCATGTTGTGTTGGCGTTTCGTTTGCTTTACGTCTTTGTGGGATTCTTTGGTCGAAAGATTATAACGTCAATGATACTTCAACATTCTTTGAGTTATTTGCAAAATCCCGAGAAAACGAGAATCTCTGGGATGAAGCAATCGTACGCCATGGATATTTGACTGGTTTACAGAGTTTGACGTCGTCAAATGAGGGACAGAAATGGCTGCAAGCACACACAGGTAGATTTAATATTCATTATCTGGACAAAGAAATAAGTGTTCACTATTTTTGTTTTGCTTTTTTGCTTGTTTGTTTGTTTGTTTGTTCCAGTTTTCTCGTTTTATTTATTGGGATTTGTATGTTGCTGCACGTGGGGGATGTTAGGACCACAGGGAGCCCACTTGGGATAAAAGTGGAAAATGAAAAAATACAAAAAATCACCTAATACCATGAAAGTTTACAGAACATAGTGAGAAAATCTGCAGTGAAAAAATTCTGCACGATATCTCTCATAAAATCTATATTTAGCTTTTGGCTTTTGTATCACAGTGTGGGAGAATAAGCCTGAAATGAGATGACGTTTTACCCCCGACTCTTTACCATAATAGTTTTTAAAATTCTTTCATATTAAAATTTTTGATTCCTTAGAGAATACAGGAACGATAGTCATAATTAAAGAACAAAAGCAATGTGAAAAGGATTATGGTCTAGAGACAGGGGTAAAACGTCATCTCGCTTCAGGCTTATTGAACACAAGAGATCTCATATTCTTTTATCTCCTCTTGAATAGGATGTTTGTTAACTGCTGTTGGTTGTATCAGTGATAGTAGCATGTTTGTCGCATCAGCAGCAAGAGAATTCATTGCAAAGTTCCTTTTATCAAGCTGGTCAATTAACGTTTCCAAGCAGGATGATGGATATTCAAATGAAATGAAATGGCTGCTAGAGCTTCTACAGGAAAAACTCTTCCATGATAAACAACAACCAAATAACTCCCAACATCAAAAAATGACCAGTGACCATATAGTATCAGTGTTGGATATCGTGAGAATTTTATTGAACACAAACTTTGAAGTTGGACAAGAAATCCTTCGTATGTCGAAAGTATTTGCAAACTGTGTTACAGCAGCAGAAATCGCTGACCAGATTGCCTGTAGAAAACTAGTGGATGTTATAAACGGATTCCAAATAAATCCAAGGTATGAATAATGAAGTAAAGAAGGTTTTATTTGAATGAGATATGATTGTGTGGGCACACTCTTCTTCCTGGGACCAATTCAACTGAATTTGAAGATAAAAAACTTTAGCGAATCAGGAGAAAGCAAAATCAGTATGATATTGATCTCAGCCAATCACAATCTCTCACTCAATCTTTGTTCCTTGCTTCTTATTGGTTCAAGTTTAACTACTGTAAGTTTGTTCAAGTTTGACTTAAGTTTAATTCCTTGGTTTTCACTCTATGTTACAATTGATTAACTTTTTTCAAGTGTTCCCAGCTAGCAGTGTCCATACAGTATTTGCCTGCTTCTGAAGTTGTAATATAACAGCTGTAAAAAATAAAAAATAAAAAATAAAATGTAGCATAGACTTAAATAAATAAATGAGAAATAACAGTGGCAATTTTCTAAAGTAGTTCTTCAACTACTGAAATTTTTTGTGGAGGAATAAAAACCAGAGAACCTGGAGATAAACCATCAAAGCACAGCTAGCAACTCTACTCAAATATATACTGTAGCACTGAGTCTAGGAATGAAACCCAGGTTACAACTAATTCCTAATTAATCTCCCACGATGAGCTTAGCTCTTGGAGAGAACACAGAGAGTCAATATGTTTAAATAAAAATAAAAAAATTGCTAAACCATACTTCCCTTTCTGAAAGGAACAAGTTGTTTCTGTAACTAGTTGATACATATTATAACAAAATATGTATAATATTGCTTCAATGAGGCTGTCTTTCTTTTTTTAGTGCACAGTGTACCGTGGACTGGGATAAGCTGTTGTCTTGTGATAGATTTGGTCCCTCTGGAGAGAAGCAAGGGCAGTCTGCCCAGGAAATACTACTTACTATTCCAATAAAATGGTACAAGAAAGGAATGATAACACTTGCTCTGGACTTGATTACTGGACTGTCATTACCAAAAGACACTGTTTCCAGGTATGGTTGAACCCACAACATATCCATATTAATGGAGGAAATTATCAATCTAGAGCTTGGTAAAGGCTAAGCAAAACAATGATAGCATGTTCTGTTATGAACACACTATAGGCTGGGCAATTCATGGTTCCGAGTCCCCTTAGTTACCATTAATAATAATAATAATAATAAACATGTTCTTATATGGCACAGCCCCATACGATCTAGGCGTGCTTTACAAAAAATATATAGGAAAAAGGAAAAATAAATAGGGAGAAAAACAGAAACAAAAGTAAACAGTTCGAGGGATAATGCTAAATTATAAATCAAACAGCAATGTTTTTACCTTTTTTTGAAGGAAGTTAATGTTTTAGTGATTCTCAAGTTGGTTGGTCATTGCTATGTCTCACAAGCTCAATGAATTAGCTAAAGTATCTCGGAATTTAAAACCCTGGTCACAGAATTAAAGAATTTTTTTTTTCAATTTCCAATGCATCCTAAGAAAAATGACTCGTAATCCTAGTAGTACTCTTTAAAACAGATTTTCTGTAATTTTTGTGGAACAAGATTTTAGTTCCATTGGGAAAACTACTACAGTGTACATGTACAATGTTGATTGGTTTGCTGTTGTCTAAAAAAATTCCATTCAAATGTGTTTGTTATTCTTGTTATTCTTTGTTCAGGTGCTTCCCAGCAGTCTGGCCAGAAATCCTGGCTTGTTTAATCAATGCACCAATGGAAGTTCTCATGGAAAAACATCTGGAAACTAAATGCAATGGCTCTTGTGAAACAAATACATCAGACATTGGTTCATTAGTAACAGAGTTGTTATCCCTTGAAAATGAGGATGTTGACACTAATATCAAGGTATTGGGAAGAAATTTAACACTTGGGTATTGATGCTATACTGTGCTGTGCTGTGCTGTGCTGTGCTGTGCTGTGCTGTGCTGTGCTGTGCTGTGCT